GACGGCTACAGAAAGTCCTGCCGTGAGGGAAAGCGCCTCTGCTGGAAGAGGTTAAGTCTAAAACTCTGCTTTCAAAATTATAACTTCGTATATCTGATAGTCCTGTGGGTGACTGAGGAGAGTTTTATAGGGAACCAGCAAGCGTGAGCTCTGACAGACAGAAAAGAGCGGGAATATGGCAATGAACCGGAGCCGTAACCTGAGGAAGGTGACTGCTGCCTCTGCTGTCCCCAGGGCCTTGGCAGGGGGAACCCCCAGACGCCCATGGCTGTGCGGCTGGCCTTGCTGCTCTGTCAGCCTGTCAGGAAAGGATGCTGACAGCACCATGCCCGCTGCTTTCCTGTGGGCTCCGAGGAAGGCTGGTAATGTTTATGACGACCATTTGCCTTACATGTCGCACCAGCAATAAAAAGCCTGTGCAATGCTGAAGATATTTTTCTTAGTGGGCCATTTGGAGGCCTCTCCTTTCACTCCCTATGAGCTTTTTAAGACATTGTATTGCTCACAGCGTATTCAGAGTTGCAGGGGTGAAGGTACAAAAGCTAAACAGTTTAATTCTTGCCCTTATTCCTAATCAGACAAGAACTGCGGCCTCTGCTTGGAAGTACTCTCGCATGCATTGCTGCTGTGGCTGAAGGAAGGGGACAGTGCTCCTCAGAGGCAGCATGGGGTGTTTTTATGTAATGGAGAAAAGTGCTTTTTTTCCCCCCTGACCTCCCAGTCAGTTCCTCAACTCAGTTCTGCAGAGCTATTTGTTTCTACTCCTGTTACCGGTTCTTCAATAGACAGGCCTCCCACGGAGACAAGATCTGCAACCTCTCAAGCCTTGCACAGATGGAAAGCACAGCTTTGAACTGAGTTGTGCTTTTCTTGAGGGAGGATGGTGTGTTGTTGGGTTTTTTTTAAAACAGATAAGCCCTGGATGATAAAGAAAACAGCGTTAACAAGCAATTATAGGAGTTGACTCTCATGAAATCAGTTGTTGCTGCAATCTCAAATCCTGCATCTCTCGGTTACTCTCTGTGAGACTAGTGTTATCTGTTACAGCATGGATCCCCTACATGAAGCTGCTTCCCTGGGTTTGTATTCTGACCAAGAGCTAAAGTGAGAGCACGTTGCCAAAACTTCTTGTCATGTGCAACAAGTGTGAAAAGAGATCAGGGGCCTGATTTTTTTTTAAAACAGATAAGCCCTGGATGATAAAGAATACAGCGTTAACAAGCAATTACAGGAGTTGACTCTCATGAAATCAGTTGTTGCTGCAATCTCAAATCCTGCATCTCTCGGTTACTCTCTGTGAGACTAGTGTTATCTGTTACAGCATGGATCCCCTACATGAAGCTGCTTCCCTGGGTTTGTATTCTGACCAAGAGCTATAGTGAGAGCACGTTGCTAAAACTTCTTGTATGTGCAACAAGTGTGAAAAGAGATCGGGGCCTGAATTCAAAGATTTTTAGATATCCCTCTCCATAGTTCCTTCTGAAATTATTTGTTAGACTAACTCATGGCCACAAATACAGGGAAGAAAACTTCAAATATTTAGTTCAAACTAAGAGGAGGCTAGTAAGTGATAAAGCAGCTGTATTGCCACCTTTTAAAAGCCCTTCACAAGTCACAACCTAATGGGAAGGATACAACAATTTGCTGTAATTTAGAAAAATCTCTAGGGCTTTTCTGAACTTCACCAAGGGTAAAAAGGGTTCCCCCGCCTCACCTCTGCTTGCTAGAAATGTAGCATGCAGTTTCCTGAGGTTTTGCTCTCAGCTTTACAGTGAATTTTTGTGATGAATGACTCATTTACAAAACTGAAGTTCAAAGTCCAGGTAGAATTATACTTAATCATTACTGGAAAAAAACCCATCATAACTGTACAATTACGCCCAGTTTGGAAAAGCTCTTTCTACCTATGTGATGTAGGACAGGAACGGCTATAATCGCTCATGGATAGCAGATTATTGGTGAGACTGAAGTTGTAGTTTAGGGTTAAAAGTCAACTAGGAGTTTTGCTTTGGAGGTCGAATCCCTGACCATCTGTATGACTTTTACAGCCAAGTATCACAGCATCGCTTAGCCTAGCCCTTCATTGTGTAATGCATAAAACCAGATGTCTCCCTTTTTTTCTTTTTTGAACAGGCAGAGATACGTGGTGTCCAGCTCCTGTCGAGGTCTGCCTCTGCCTGCAGAGCTGCTTCCCCTCTCCCCCACACTGGTTTCCAACGCTGAGATCTGCGCTGCAGGTACTTCACAGGTAGCTGCTCACTGTGCTTTGCAAAAAAACAGCTGCATCCCTGAGAGGACCCAGGAACAAAAGTAATAAAGAAGCACTGACATCTATTCTTACCCTAGGAAAAGCTGTTTTTCAGGATCTCAGGATTCACAAGTTTGCCCTGAAATCAGCAGAGAAAATGATGATGTAGCACTGTCAGACAAGTAATGCTCAGCTATTAAGATTTTTTTGTACCACGCTCTTCTCCCTAGTATTTCATTGGAAATTAATCACACAGAAAGAAAATCTGTAGAAAGAACACTTCACTTTAAATAAATATTGGGACATTGGGAGGTTAAACAAAGGTCAAGTACTGTAAGGATGAACACAAGAAATTCAATCTTTATTCTGAGAATATTTACAAAATAAATAATAATGCACTCCCATACTTAACACATTTCAAAAATAAATCAGGAACAAGAATTCTAAGTTCTTCACACAGTATGGTCTACCTTTTCAAATTTCATGTTGAAGTTTTATTTTCATCTAATTTTAGATATTTATAGAACCATCAGAAACAACAGTGTAAGTTTTTCCTCTTCAAATGAATGTTGTCTTCAAAAATTTGGATTACTGACATATTAATTTATATTCTTTAATATACCAAGTGATTTTTTATTTTCCAAGGAACTTCAGTTGTTATGACCTTATCAGCTTTTTAAGATTAGCCATAACAAATTACCTTTTATATCGGTAACAATGCAAGCCATTATTCAAGATGAAAGATTTTTAAAACACAAATTATACATAAAAGTAGCATAAGAACAGAATTCAAACAAAATGCTCATGTGTAAACACACACCACAAGCTTTGTAAAGGTCTGAAATGGAGTTTTCTAACCAGGGGGATTGCATCGTAATGACAGGTAACAGAGAAGCATTTACGGCCGTACATTGTGAACTAACACTCTGCACCTCTTAAAAACCGGACTGTCGACTGCTTTCACTGGTTAGTTAACACAGCCACGTAGGTAATTAGCAGGTGGAAAAGGGCACAATTCATTTCAGACATCACTGTGGAAAAGCTCAGCTTCAGAACATTTTCATTTGTGGCTCCCACACTACTGCTAAAGTTCAATCCCACGTGGATTATAATACGGCGCTGGGAAAGTTCCGGGGGGTTTCTGCTCAAGACCGGCACCTCAAAACGATGCCAGTGGGTTTTATCGTACACTTCTACTTTACATAAAGCACAACATAGGTCACTGGCATTCCTCCAGCAAGTCTCTCAGTTTACCTTTAAAAGGAGCTTCTTAACCAGCTTGCAAATTGTTTCAATGTCTGTACAAATTTGTTGTTGCTTATACGATCTCTAATTCTTTCAGAGTAGCTTTCCTCTTTCCATATTCCTTTGTTTTTCTTCAAGGCCTTTAACTCTGCCCGAAGGAGTCTTCGATGAAGTTTCCAGTACAGGCGGGAATCGTGATGCAGTCCTTCAATACGTGCTGCTCTGCCAAGCCCCTCTCTCAGGATCTCTTCATTCAAGCACACGCTGAGAAATCGACCCTATAAAAGGCACAATAAACAGGATATTAATCTTTAAAAGATTTATTTTTTGGTGAGACCTCCCTCTGAGATACAAGCTTTACTTGTGGCTGAATCCACGCTCTGGCAGAAAGACTTAAGAGTTTAGGGGAATGCAGGTGACTCTTAAAACCTAATACCCCTGGAAGACATTTGTGAGGGCACATCTGATGGACTAAACCTTAGGCTAATCAGAACTACATGATACAGCCTAGCACTATCCGACAGAGAAATACACTCATATCAGAATCAGTCTGCAAAAATACCGGTCTTGAAATCAGACTTGCAAATACAACATTTAAAACTCATATCAAGATAGATAAATTATAAATAGTAACATCCCTTAAACGTACCGAGATAACTGAATTGCATAACCGCAGTCAAACTCAAGTCTGCAGAGAAAGGTCAATTTTTGTCACTACATTTACCTTATTTAGTAAAACAAGGCACTCAAGTGCCAAGTCCTCCCTTCCGAGAAGCTGGAACCATATCACTTGTTTGGGTTTCAACTCTCGCCGCAACCAGGCCACGCCGCTCGGAGCCAGCTCCACGCCAGCAAGCCTCACCAGCAGCAGGCCACCTGATTGCCCTGAGGACGGAAAGACAGAACTTTGTTACGGAACGCAGCGGTCAAAGGAGATGTCCTGCTCTGCACAGACCCTCAGCTGTCGTAACGAGTGCATTCCCATGGACTTAAAAAATAAAATAAATCCAGTTTAGTTCCCCAAAGCACTACTTACTTGCTAATAAGAATTTGGTCTCATCTCCAGTAAAAAAAAATTAATTCAGGATTGCATAAATGGTTTAAGCTAGTTTGTTTTATTTTGCGTGCAAATAGAAAGAACTGCTTTCATTATCAGTGACCATTATTTCATCCGAAGGGGCAGAAACAATAGGAAATAAGAAGCATTAGCGCCTGGGGTGTTGGCAAGGCAAGGGGGTGACTCGGACTTAACGCACAACTGCTGCCCCTAAGATCGGTTCGTATATATGTATATATGTCCCTGCCAGATCTTCATTCGTAAATAAAATCGTAATCCCAAGAGTCTTTGTGAGTTGTGCAAGCCAATGAGCGGCCTAGGTGCTACCTGTTGCTGCCAGAAAAATATCACGATAACGACACTAATTAACAGAAATACTGTATTGGTACGCTCTTTTCACAGCCCTCCTCGCAGTCTGTCTTATTCCCCAGTTTCCCACCTGAAAGACCGAAAGGCAGAGCGGGAACTGCACCTTAACCCTTCCTCTCACACTCGCGCTCTGCGTAGCTGCGTTAAGAACATCATCTCAGCCCCACCCTCGTTCTTCACGTTCTGTTACGTACACTTCCTCTGTATCGACGTAACGAAAGGAATGCTAATGGGAATGTGCTCCACTGCCAGGCCTTTCTCAGTTACGTGATGCAATTTCCCCCGCAATTTCACATTCTTTGCTACAAACTCCGCAGGTATGTCCAAAGCACTTGTAAACTTTGTTTTCTATTGATGGAAAGAAAAGCAAGGCAAAGTTTAAAAATAAAAATGTAAAGCAGTTACAATCACATTAAATCCAACTTCTTCTTAAAACAGTTTGGCAAATTACAGACCTATTATTAGACAGCATGGGTGAGTGTGCGTATATCTATATCTATATTTCATATGAATCAGCTGCTTTCCAGCCAGTTATGATGTTCCCTGTGTTACAGGACTTGCAATACGAGGGGTGGGCACGAAGGTGGGGTTTAGAGGAAGAACAGAAATTGGTGGTTTTTGAGCAGTGCAAACTGAGGTTCACTCGATTCACGATGAAAAGCGTGTTTTCAAAGTGGCCTGGACAGTGCTAGAACCAGGGCGAAAGGAAGCAGAGACGCGTTTAGAGATGCTAGCAAAGAACAGACACGTGAAGACAAAGGCAGAGCAGGGAGGACAGACACAACCTGGACTTTGCTGAGGCAGTAAAAGAGGAGAGGGCCAAAGCAGGGGTACACCTTTGAAAAGGTCACAAGAAGATTAAGTTTGATAGCGTAGCGGTCGGTCGATGGGGGGATTCAAAGGGACAGTTACACAATCGCACAGGAAAACTCAGTTCAGCGGTGGCAGGCTTGGCTGGCGGCGGCGCCGGAGTGAACCAGCCACTGGTTTGGGGGTGCAGGGAGAGGGACAGGCACCGGGTTGGCCTCACGCTCAGAATTTAAGACACCAACCTCGTCAGGTCTCACTGCAAGAAGCTGTTTGTACAACACCGACCTACTTCGCTACAGCTGTGGCAAGTACCGATCTGCCTACGTACCGCTGCTGCGGCACACCAGCCCTTGGGGAAATAAACGCCCAGACACCACGACCAAACTGGCAGATCTCTCCACCGTACGGTGTTCGTTCAGTAAACCTTCCCAGCTGTGGTCTCCCGCGCGGAATACAGAAATTCAGGACCTTGCAGGCAGAAAGCCTGAAGGTTTTTTTACAAACTGGAGTTGTTGAAGTCTGATCTCATTTGCACTGGAAGCTCCAGCAGCCTGGTCAACACATGCACCAAGCCTTGGTTTAAAACAGTAATAAAAAACCAGGGAAAAAAAGAAAAAGAAAAAAAGGAATTCTGGCAACATTTGTAGTTCAAATGTAGGCTTTCTGGTAAAAAACTTTATACAAATGTTCTCCCATAGCAAACTGCATTTGGA